ACCCACCTTCCCTCTACCCTCCCAGTATCGCCACTCACACCACTGGTCCTGAAGGGATCATCCGCCCTGGATTCCCTGTGTTTCCAGTTCCTATCTGAACCAGTGTACATCCTCTGACCTAGTTCTTTTGGTTTCAGGCTAGTGGAAGCTGTGGTTTGTGTGGTCCATTAGTTTTAGGGCCTAATTATTTCCATGCCCCTTCAATTTTCTTTACTCTCCTTTCTTCTGGACAAAGAGAGACCAATAGTTGCACCTTAGATGATCGCTAACCAACTTTTAAGAGCCCAGTCACTACTCACCAAAGTAGGCTATAGAACATTGTCTTTATGGCCATTGACTTATATGCACACTCCCCACTCCAGACAATGTTCCTAAACCCTCAAGCCCAGTAACTCAGTCTCCCGCGGTATTTGGCTACGGCTAAAAAGTTTGTGTAATTTTGACCCCTATATACTCTAATATATATATGGATATATTTGCAATACATAAAAATGCATTTGTAGATCTGATCCCACCACACCGAGGCAAAACACTAAGGGCGTGCAACAGAACAGCAAGGGGAACAGGGCAACAAAGTCCCCAGGGAATAACAGGAATAGACTTTGGGTACCCCATCAGACTCAACTGGAAAACACTCCTAAAGGCCAACAAACAGTCCTTGAACTAACTACAAGCTTTGCTTTTTTGTTGTTGTTGTGTTGTGTTTTTTTGTTTTGTTTTGTTTTGCCATTGGCTTTTGGTTGTTGATTTTGTTGTTTTGTTGTTTTGTTTTCTTTTTTCTGTTTATTTATTTTTTAAAAAATCATTGTTGTTTTGTTTTCTTTTGTTGCTTGGTTTTGCTCTGTCTTGTTTTTGTGCATGTTATTATCTCTGCAGGTCTGTGTAAATAAGATAGGCTGGAGGAACAATCTGGAGGAGGAAACAATGGGACCGACAGTTGGGGTGGGGGACGGGGACGTGGGAGAGGGGAGGTGGGGGACAGGCAGTAGTGTTAACAAACCCAGGGACAAGGGAACAACAAGTGATCCAAATCGGTGGTGGAGAGGGTGTAGGAGGTCTGGTAGGACATAATCAAGGGTAATGTAACAGAGAGGAAGTACTGTAACCCGAAGGAAGGCTGAGCATGATAGTGGGACAAGAGGAAAGT